AGTGGAGAGCTTCACATCACTGACCTCTGAGAAGTAGGTATCTTTTTCAAGGTAAATTATAAAAAAGATTTAAAATGGGAGAAACACTGTAGATCCATAGCCTTCTAGTTGTATTAGAAATGCCCTTTAACAGTAGTAAAATGGTAATTTCTTTAAGAGAAAAATGTCACAACTGCTACACTGTGACATAAGCAGAAAAGCTGGAAGTTTTGTATGGCTGTGTTACAAATTGGATTCTGGAAACTCAACTAGGAGAAACCCACTGAAAAGGAGATTTCCAGCTTCAGATACCCTTTGTGTGTTTATTGCAGTCAGTGTTTAATAAATGATTCCCCATTGTGGCAGAGACCGTGGATGTGACGACGTGTTCGTGTGTGTGCCTGGGTTTGGCTCACACCCCAGAGCAGGAGCTGCACACACACACAGGGCTGTGCCCCAGGAGCTGCCCTGTGGAAGGATGTGGCACTCCCAGGATTGGGCTAGATCTCATCCAGCTCACACCCCTTCCCTGGGCCAGGACCCTGCAGGGCAGAGCTGGGCCCAGTTGCTCCAGCTGCTCTGCTGCACAGGCAGACAGAGCCCTTTGTGCCACTGGTGCATCCACACTTGGAGCACCCCGTTCTGTGGAGCACATGCAGGCACTGCCCACAGGCTCCTCTCATGCCATTGTAGGTCTGGAGTCTGTACTAATACCAGCATTTTTCTTGCATCCAGTTTTCCAGCTGCACTGTTGCTCCACATAACAGACCTGGCCTTATATTAAGTGACTGATAATAAAGCATTAGTATGTGACTACTAAAACCTGTGTGACCTGGCCAACCAAGTTAAAGCAACATGAATCTGGAACCTTTACTGCCTGCTGCCCTGGTTTGATGTGTAAATGATGAGTGTATTTGCTTGCCTTAAGTTCGACTAATAGTTTAGTTGGAATTGCAGAGCTGTGACATACACAAACTGCTGAATTTGGCATGTATGAAACAGTAAGTTTATGCTTCATCTCTAGTAATGAATGTGGAAGCTTTTCCTTGGGAAAGGTTGCTAAAAAAAAAAGTTGCTAAAATGCGAAGGCTCTGGTTTGTTTTTCAGCTGTGGGTGGTGTCAGAATCCCCTGAGTGTTGGCTCCTTCGAGCCCCCCTGGTGCAGCAGCAGCAGTTCAGGGGGTGGGCAGTGGTCTCCTGGAACGCTCTCTAACCCCACTGCTGTTGCCTCGCAGTGCCCACGCCCAGCCCGGGGACGCCTGCGGGGTGGTTGGTCTGGCCTTCAGCGGGCCCCAGATCCAGAGTGCCACCGTGCTGCTGGACCAGGACGTGGCCGACGAGAGGACGGCGGAAGCGGCCATGCAGCGCCTCAAAGCCGCCAACATCCCCGAGCACAACACCCTGGGCTTCATGTTCGCCTGCGTGGGCAGGGGCTACCGGCACTACAAAACCAAGAGGAACATGGAAGCAGATGCGTTCAGGAAGTTCTTTCCAAACATCCCCCTCTTTGGCTTTTTTGGACACGGGGAAATAGGATGTGATCGAATAGTTACTGGGAATTTCGTGTTAAGAGAATGTAATGACATTAAGGATGACCTGCTTCATGGTTACACAACCGTTATGACTCTTATTCATTTTGGTTCAACTAAAGCAAACCAAGCATAAATAAGGGTTAATGCTGCAGTGAGCTGTTTGTTTCGTTCCAGAGAGCTGAGAAGTCTGGAAGAGTGGACATCTTGCAGTCAGAACCCCCTTCCAAAACGTAAACATCATTTTGGTAATGTTATCAAGTCTTGTAGTTGCAGTAGAGTTTAATATCCTATCTGCAAGAAAGCCTTGCATTTTGTGTAATCCCCTGTACACATCAGAATTGCAGGAAATTATATTTGATGGAATTCTGCAATTGAAGAAAGCCTCTTTCTTCCAAAATGAGAATGGTTTGCACAAATCATAGAATATGCTGACTTGGAAGGGATCCACTGAATCATTGACTCCAGTTTCTGGCCCTGTACAGGACATCCCCAGGAATCCCACCATGTGCCTGAGAGTGTTCTGAAACTCAGACAGGCTTGGTCCTGTGACCACTTCCCTGGGGAGACTGTTCCAGTGCTCAACCACTCCGGGTAAAAAACTTTTCCCTGATATCCAGCCTAAACCTCCTGACTCAGCTTCATGCTGTTTCCTTGAGTCCTGTCACTGTCACAAGAGTGAAGAGATCAGTACCTGCCCCTCAGGAGGATGTTGAAGATCCTAATGATGTCTCCTCTCCGTCTCCTGTTCTCCAGCTGAACACACAAAGTGCCCTCAGTGTCCTCACACGGCTTCCCCTCAAGGCCCTTCATCTTCATTGCTCTCCTTTGGACACACTCCAATGGCTCAATATCTCCCTTACATTGTGTCCCCCCCCAGCTGCCCCAATATTGAGCTGAGGCTGCCCCAGGGCAGAGCAGAGCAGGACAATCCCCTCCCTGATGCCCCCAGGACAGGGATGGCCCTCCTGGCTGCCAGGGCACTGCCACCTGGCCACCAACCAGGACCCCCAGGGCCCTTCCCACAGCTGCTCTCCAGCCTCTCATTCCCCAGTCCATACACACAGCCAGGCCTGCCCCGTCCCAGGGGCAGAATCCAGCACTTTGTCCTTGTTAAACTTGCCATGGTTGATGATGGCCCATCTCTGATTTGTGGAGGTCTCTCTGCAGGGCCTCTCTGCCCTTCAGGGAGTTGAAGCTCCTCCCAGTTTCATGTTGTCAGCAAACCCAAATACCAACACATAGAAAGAAACGGGACTTCGATGTGCTCTATTTATGTATGTAAAGCAGTCCATGGAAAAATCCATTTCCTGGATTTTAGTATTAGAGAGATGCACAACCTTCCCAGAGTCCTATTTACAAAACTGAATAGTTTTACTAGACAAAATGAATGAAAATCTTAAAAGTAACAAACTGCTCGTTAAATAAAGATGAAAGTATGTCAAAGTACTTTGCCTTCTATTAGAGAAAAGGCTCTGATTTAAAGAGATGTTGTCCAGCTACGAGTTCAGCTTGGTTCACCACCTTGAACTGAATTTCAGTTGTCTTAACTGTCTGGTTTAGAATGTAGTGGTTGTTTTTTTCTTTTGGATCTTCTTGTAGCTTGATTACAAACTTAAATCCAGAGTGCTAAAAAGAATAAGACTACCTGGTATCTTTAAGTTTCTTTAAAAAGTTTTTTTGCTCTTTAATTTGGAATTGTGGGGCACACAGGATCTGGTTATATTTATAGAGAGACTTTAAACAAGACTTGTGCTTTTGCATGATTTTCCTGTGCTTTTACATCAGTCACCTGTTTTGGTTGCTGCAGCTGGGATGCAGTATTGTTCAAGTAAGTAAATTCAGCATAGTCTCAGTATAGCTAATAATATATTTGCTGCTTTCTAAAGTTTTTTCCTCCCTTTTGTTTTCACTTAGTAATAGAAGGACAAGAAAATAAGATTAATTTTCCACCGTTTCACCAGGCTTCTAAATGCCAAATCAGTCAGCTGGCCCATTTTCAGTGTAGTAAAAAGAGAACAGTTAGCTGTTGTTGTACAACAAAATAACATTTTTTGCTTTAAATGTACCAAGCAAGTCTTCATTGGCAACTTTTTGCTTATATCAAGTTAAAACTTTTCCTGAACTTGGCCTAAGGAGCTGAGGTAGAGGTGTATCTGTTCTGAGAGGTAACTTGGTTTCAGTTTGTGCTGAGCACACCCAGCACTTCCCCGTGGCTGTATTGGTGATGGGTTTTTTTAATTAGGAGCTGTGAACTCCCAGTGGGAGATGGGAGATCAGGAAGTGTGGGTGTGACTGGGACAACGTTCAGTCACTGCATTAAGGGAAAGGTGTCTGGGAATGGGGTTGAGTTGTCAGAGCAGCCCCTCGGTGGGAGGCGGCTCCGTGGTTTTGGAGCGTAACCACAGTGTTGTGCTCAGCCCTCTGTGCCTGCCTGAGCTGTGTGTTGAACGGGAGGGAAAGGAAATGTGTCATTCCTGTAACCCAGATTCCTGTGGCTGGTGGCCATGCTGTGAATGTTCCACTGTTGGCCGTGTCCTGGGTGACAGTGCAGACGTGTCCAGACGTGTCCGAGGAAGCAGCTGGTGAGCTCAGGTGATGGTGCAGCAAAACCAGAACCAGAGGGTGTTCTGAAGGGGCTGCTCATCAGCAGGGTCCTGGAGCTGAGGAAACTTCTGAGGTAAACATAGTACAGGTGAGATGCTGGGGGTGACCTCAAGAGCCTGCACCAGAGTCCAGGAATTCTCTTTCCGGCCTCAGGGAGTGGGGATGAGCCCAAGGGATCCCAGAACCATGCACATGGCTGGAACCATTGCACTCTCTCCCAGCCTGCATCATGCTTTCCACGTGACAGGGAAGTGATGTAAGTGATAAAACTGCAACATCTGTGATTAAAGTGTTTTGCTCTCCAAATTCATTTTGCCTCCATGCTGTCATTTGCTCTTCAGCCACAACTCCTCAGAGAAACCAAAATATATTTGCTTAAAAGGTGCAGGTACCAAACGACAGAGCTTGTTCTGAATTGACAGAAAGTTTTGCAGTGCCAGAATTTATACCTCTGTCACTCAAAAAGTAACCACAGGGTTTTAAAGTGAGCAAAGTTAGATAAATGAGTATTCAGCAATTGAGGCAAGTGTGAATAGCATAAAGATACCTAAAGATAAAGTTTATCTGCAGTTACAGTGCTGATGCTAATCTGTTTCCAACAAGAGAACAGAATTCCTAAGTGACCACAACTGGATTTTGGTTTTGCTATGAAAAAAAGAAAACTTGCAGAGGCACAAGACAGGGAGGAGCGACAGTTTTGCTGATGAAAGGTAAAGGCACTGTTTTTCCCCATCTTTTGAATATGAATAATGTTTTGCTGCACATTTGTTCTTAATGCATCATTCAATTATCTCTAAGTTTTAAAAATATAAGAAATAATAGGCAAGTGGGGTGATGTATAACCTCGTACTTGCACAACCAAAATAGCAACTGCCAAACATAAAGCTATTCCTGTAACTTTTATTTTAAAGTTACTATCCAAAAGTCTTCTCATTATAGGATATTTCTGTAATGTGCAGTTGTAAGAAAGCAAGAATAATTTGATAAAGAGGAGCCAAATTATGAACAAGTAGTTACATATGATTCTGAATTAATTTTGTTAAAAGTCTCCCTCCAAACTCACTCAGTGTCATTACCCCTCTTAGTTTATATTTTTCTTTCTAAAAATGGAGAACTTCTTTCTCCTAGAAGTATCTCTGTGGTGTTGGTAGTTAGTTTTCATATCAGACACTATCTTTGGAAAGGACCTAAGTGTTCCGAGTGCCTCATGTCTGGCCCAGTGAGAGAACCAGAAAAACCATTTCTCATTCAGATGCCTACTTCTGTTCTACTCAGTGGAATGATACAGAAAAATAATATTTGAGCTCTGGAAGTTTGCAAAGTTAGAAGTTACAAAGATAGTAAATGTGCAGTTCAGTGGTGTTTTATAAGATCTTTTCCTGTTGCTAAGCCCATTTCTCAGCCAGATGCAGACTCCAGAAGAGGCTGTTCCAGAAGGACTCCAGAGGAGCCCTGAGGGTGTTCTGAACTCCAGGCTGGAAGGTAAACCAAGCTCACTGCTGCTGGGGGTCCTCTACCACTGCTTTAGGTCAAACAGTACAAGTTCAAACATTGTAGGGCCCTTGTACTGACTGTTTTCTGCCCACCAGCACTCCAGAACAATGTAGGGTATTTTTGTAAACAGAACACAGCTGCAGTGAGAAACTGGAAACTCAAAGGAAATGCATAAGATAGGTTTGGATTCTTTAGAAGTGGATACTTACATTAGAATTATTAGCAGAGAAATAGCTAATTGGAATTTTTTCCCAAGTGCTTTGACAACTTAAGAGAACAAATTTATTCCCAAATCACTGGGATTTGTCCTTTTAAATGCTTTTAAAAAACAATGTGTAAATTGTCCTCATTACATTTCACAGGTAGATCTTCAGTGAGATTAGCGGGTAGCACAAAATTCTCAAAATAAATGTTTCGGTGATTCACATCACTGACAGTGGCAGGTCATGTCACCTTTGCACAATAAATTTTCACAGCTATAAGAATTAGAAACAGCTATTTTTAAAATAAGCTCATTTTAGCTGAGTTGTCAATATGGCAGCAGGGAGAGCAAACACTAATCCCCTGAAAAGGAACTCTCTGAGAATCTCCAGAACTGGTGAAAATGACTGAATGGTTTGAAACAGCAGCAAATTCCATGATGGAGAATGTACAACACAGATTCAAATCACCCAGTCCTGTCAAAAACTGCCACCAGTGGATGCTCAGCTACCTTTTTACAGCCCATCATCTGCCTGCACAAACTTTTAGACAAAATATCATTACTTGCATTGAGAAGGTAATTTGAAAACAGTCTCTTTTAAAATGTACACTGAAAAAGACTGTTCAAATGTTACACAAACATAGAGGTGCATCGAGAAGAGTTAAAAATTGGTTGTAACTTTAATTTGGGGGATGAAAACAGCAATATCTGCTTGTTATTTCAGGTTCTGCAGCTGTAGGTTCTATTTACATCCCTTATCTCGCTCTAGAAATGATTCCTGCTGAAAGGTTTTGGGGAGTGTCAGTCCCAAAGATGGAACTGAGCAGCAGCCTGACTATGGGTGTTTGACAGAATTTGTATTTGGTGCTCTGCTGTCAAGGAACTGATTTCATGCCTTACTTATAGATGATGTTGAACAGGTTACAGTCACAAGGAGAGCAAGAACAGACTTTGAATAAGCATAAGCAGATAATGTTACATAGAATAATGAAGAAGGTTTTGGGTTATGGGGTTTTTTTTAACATCTTTAGGCATAGACAGGTTTAGGGGGTTTTTTTGTTTGCTCATTTTCCCCCAAAGTGCAAGAAATACTGCAGTCCTTTAAATGAAGAATCCCTTTTTTCATTAATCTTAACCACAAAACCCAAACAATTTATGTCTGGATTCTTTTGATTATTCCATATAATCTGAGATATAGTAATATTCCATCTCTTCATTAAAGTATATAGATGTCAACAGGAGGCACAGTGAACACCTGCATCCTGGTAATCTAAATTATATTGCCAGGGAATCATAACACAACTTAGTTCCATTTTTTTTCCCAAACTTATACTCATAAATCTTCATGAATATCCTTGGGTTTGAATATAGTCATAGTAAAAATGAAAGTAAATGGAAAAAAAACCCTGGGTTTAAACTCATCCACAGTCTTTTCAGTTTTTACTGGAAAAAGCTTGATGTCCTTTAAATGAAAGGATGCTAAATACCAAAGGAAACAGAGTCACAGAGTCAGAGACCCTCTCCAGCTGTTCAAAAATGCAGGGCCAGAAGGAAAAGGTTTTTTTAATGCAGTAAATTTTGAAGGAGTTGCACAACATTGAAGGTACCCTTAAAATGGGAAGTGCTACCAAATGGACTTTCTGTTGGTCTTCCTGCTTAATATTTAACATTATAAATCAAAAGACTAGCACAGAGAAAATCCTCTTGTTTTCTTTGAAAAGCCATTTCACGTTCTCCTTTAACTGTACTTTGCTCCAGAGTTTGTTTGTGCTGCTAATGAAGAATAATTATATACTGTAACATATAAGCAACCTCTTCCTTAGGTCTATAAACAGACTTCCTGCTAATAGTTGTCAGTTTGTTCTGCAAGTGATCAAAAGGTTTTTGCAACACCTTATGAAGAGACTTTTACTACAAGATTCTGAAAGGAAGATGTGGTCCTCAGGTATAAAACAATTTTTGCCATAACACTATAATAAATTGTGGTGTAATCATGGTAGTGGAGTTTCTTAGGAAATTAGCCTTTTCTACTTTTCTTCCCCCATAACCTTCCTGCTGGTGGAGAGGTAATTTTAAAGACATGAGATCTTGTGTTTCCTGGAAATGGCAGTCAAACAGACAAGAGAAAGCCCTTATTACTCACCCCTCCATAAACAGGTAATTTTATGCCCCAGTGACTCCAACTACAATATCTGATCCACTGGAACTGGTGTTTCTTTAGCTTTATTGCTCACAGGGCTACTTAATTTTGTAAGCAAACGTTGCTACAAAGTGCTGCCCTATTTTATGAAATTACATATAATGTTGGCTACCCTGTACTGTCTGTGGCATTTGACCACCTTAAAATGAATTTGTAGCCTGATCTCATTTTGATCTGAACGTCACAGTCACAAAGCTTGTGAACTGAACCAATTAATTTTGGAAGCTGGAATGTTCTCAGGTGCAATGGGTTTGAGGCAGTCTGAACTGCTAATAGCCTTTCCTTCACAGGTACCACTGTTCCATAAATCACCCTGTTTGCATTTAAACGTGGGTTTGGTTTATTCAGCCTCACTTTTTGTACAAACTGTTTCCCAAATAATGCAAACACGCTTGGTAACATTAAATAACTATTCCATATCTGTCTAGAAAGCTGAGGGGATTCTAAGAGTTTATACAGTACAACTTCAGCCCATTTATTTCTTACATCTTCTATTAATATCTCCTTCCTGAATTTCCACTTAAGATGACCACAAGCTTTTTCCTTTTTCAGTGGAGATAGTATCCCAAAGTGTAAGTCTGACTGTCTCAGGATCAGTAACATATTGAAGTTATCTGAGAGCAGCTGTCTGTGATTAGTTTTCCCCCAGGCTGTGCAAAGTTCAGGTGACAGTGATTCTGATGGAGCTCTCAGTAGTGCCACACATCCCCCGAGCTCTCTGTACAACAGTGGCATGTCCCTGTGTGATGAAAAATCACTTTTCTCTTTCTTAGCCTTTAAGACAATATTCCCAGCTTCCTTCAGCTTATCTGCTAAAGGTTTGAAGTGCAGAAAATAACATATAAGATTGGTTAATTTGGGGAGAAAGTGATCTTTTAGTGCTTTATATAACCTAATCTCTGGATCAGGTCCTGTACTTGATTTGATGCCCTCAGATTCTCCCTTCAGATGCTGAGCATTAACTGGGACTCTGACTTCTCTGACATGAGTCCTTGGAAGGTAATGAATTTTTCTGGTTTGTGTTCCAGTAGTTATTATAGCACAGTTTTCCCTTTGACTCCTCACCTCACACCCTGTAACAGCAGGGCTTTCCTTCTCTGCCCCACTGGACTTTTGTCTACATGGATACAGAGTACACCAGAGCATGTAGTAAAGCAGCCCAGAAATAGGAGCTTATTCAACATTTCCTTTGCACCTGTGTTTTTACACAACTCCAGGTTGTTTATTTCAGAGATAAGAAATCTCTGTTCTACATTTTCTCTCCTTTCAATTTGTGAAGTTTTCTCAGTTAATCTTCCCCCCAATACAACCTTAAAAATCCCATGTAATGACCTGCTGGGTAATGTGCAAAAATGGAAACATATCTGATTTCTGCTGGTTTCAACCCCCAGTGCTAGAAATAACTTGAAAAGAAAGTTGCTCAGTTCACATTTTCTATGCCTCTGACTAACCAGAGCATTCTCTTTGTTTTGTCAAGGCAAAAAGGCACATGGACCATGTCATTTGGCCTCTCTTTGTCTGAGTAAGAGAATCCTGTAAGGAACCAGAGTGTGATATATGAGGCACTGGTGTGATCAACAAATGGTCATGTGAATAAAAGAAATAAATCTTTAGAGAGGGCAGCACTTTTTCAGCCAAGACACCTGTCTGAATATTTTGTGTCAGGAATTGACCTGATGAATAAAATTCCTGGCTTCTGCTATCTGAAATATCAACTGGAAAATTTAAGGCGAGGTTTAATTTCCCTCAGCAGTGAGATTTTCAGAAGAAAGCAAGACAAAAATAAACCCATCAAGGAAGATGTCTTGCTTAATATTAGGGAGGTATAGCAAACAAAGGGTAAATTCTCTGCCTAAACTTCTTTTAACCACTACCTATCTCTTTTCTTTTCATTCAAATTCAAATCAAATACACTAGCAGTGGTACCTCATCCTCATGTTGTCTTATGATTAAAAAGAAAAAAAGAGAAAGAGTATTAGCTGGGAGAAAGGTACTTTTTTTTCCCCTACATCTGTTAAGGGTGTCTGAAACAAGCCAAATTCTGGACGTGTATCAAAAGTACAAATTTTGAAACTATTGACTCAAGACAGTCAAACAAAATTCCCCTATCAAAAATCCATAGTATTATGTCATGCTAAACCCCTGTTATTATCTCATATTCTCTCTGCAGTGAAAAAAATATTTAATATATTTTATACATTTCCCATGTAGTAAACCCCAAAATTCTCATGTGTCTACCTGGGCATTATTGAAAACTGTAACTTGTCATAAAACAATCTCCCAAAAAATTCAAACAAGTTATAGTGATTTCTGTATAATTGATGCATCTTTAAAAATACATACAAACTCCATTAAGTGCAACTGTTTATGTCTTAGTTGCAGTGTTCTCCAGCACATAAGCTCCTATTTCAGTCTGCTTTCTTCTCTCATCTTGCTCACCACATCATCCTCTACAACTTGTGTTCTTAGGGTTGCTCTGCATGTTGTTTTCCCACCATTCTTCCACTTAATTGCTTTATGCTGTTGTTATTTCTGAAAAATAAACAAAACACATACCTTTAATTAAGGAAAACTTCCTCCCCCACTTTCCTCATGGAGTCCAGTCATTTAACTTTAAATTGCACTCACTGTTGCAGCCATTGCTGCTTGTAGGTTCAACTAGGTTGGCACCACACTCTGAGGAACTTGTCCTTGGAATGGAAACTTTTCTGACCAAAAGAAACAAAAACCAGACAACAGAGAGAGGAAAAAAATACACACAGAGTGAAAAAAGTTGTCAGGGAGGAGACAAATTAATTGAATGATGTCCATTGAAAAAAGTGACACGGATCTCCTGCAATTCCTGTCTAATTAATACCCAGTGTTTGTGAGAAGTGTGTATTGGAGGGAGAAGGACAGAGGCCAGTACAGCTCTCAGAACTACGTGGCTTCTCTCCTAATGTTCCTGTTTGTCTGATTTCTCAGCTCTTTATTTAAGCAATTAGTAGACAGCACAAAATAATTTATTTTTAATTCTCTTGATGTTTGGAAACAAGGTGAAATTCTCCACACTTGGTTGAGGAGACACAAATCTTGTAAAGATTTGTAAAGATCTCTTGCTGTCTTGTTCTCTTTCTTTTAATAGTAATCAGACATCTGCTCCCTTGAGAAGAGTCATGAGCTCTTCTCTGTTCTGTCCAGTTTGTGTCCTGTGGTGATGTAACTCCTCCACAAAGTCTGTTGTCTTGGACAGCTCAGGTGGCTTTTTTCCTAGACCCTGTAGTTTTGGCTGGCTGAGTTCCCATTCATCAACATTACACTTACCTTACAGGTAATTTGGCATTTCAACATGGACTTACAATGAAATATAGAAATGAATTGCAGATTTAATTTAGTTTTCCCCAGGCTTTGTTCTGTTCCTCTAAGCTTTGTGTGTGGCATTTAGGCTTCTGTATTGCTTTTAAATAAAAGCTGGCTGATGTGCCATCTATAGTCATCAGCCACCTTTCTTATTCTTCTTCCAGCAACCCTTGGACAATATGTTTCTGGAGGAAGAAGGCCAGATGGACGTGGTCTGACAGGTGACTTGCTGGAAGCAAAATATGCCATTTGTTACCCAGTACCAGTGTAATAGCAGGGATTTTTGCAGACTTTCCTGTTTTGCCCACGTCAGAAAGACAGACTTTATGAGTCTGTTTGTTGGAGGGGTGTTTGTTTCAAGGTGGAAAGCACCTGCATCTGGATTTGCACTCTGCAGACTGAAAAAAATAAATCATCAGCTGATAAAAATGTGATGACTCAGCTAAATGTAAAAAGAATTATTTCCCACTGCTCACCCAGAGCTTTCCTATGCAGCCCTATTCTTTTATGGGTTTTTTTCACTGTTAGTTATGACTTAGTTTTATAAGCAGAGCAATGAAACCCTTTCTCTCCACCCTTGTATGGCTGAATGGATTTGTTTCCAAGGAGCATTAAATGCACTTGCATATGCTTGGTCCTCAAATCTGTCCCAAGTAGCCTCAGAGAAAGACAACTTGGAAAGGAAGGGAGGTATAAGTGATGATACAAACAAGAAAACAGAGCAAAACTGATTTCCTAAATTCTAAAAGATTTAATGTGTAATTTTAGGGATTCTGTTTCCTTGTGCTGAACTTCCAGTAGTATCTCCTCTTCTGCATCCCTCCAGATTGCATTACTGTTTATACTAAAACCCCACTAGAACCCTCTGCTGAAAGGGCCATGGAAATGCTGAATAACACACAATAGTGGGAAAAAAACTCTGCTTTCTGATTGTAGATCAAACGTCTTTGTTAATAAAGTGTAACAGTGGAAACTTGATAGCACAGTATTTTCCTTAACATTTTAAACTTAACATATCCTGTCAAGGACAAGCCCAAGATGATGCAACTCTCAGCTAACCCTTACAAACCCTAATTCCACCCTCTTCTAAGATAGGATACAGGTGATAGATCAAATTTGAGGAAAAAAAGTGCAGATTAATGACAGCTGCTGGCAATAATCCTCATTCACACAGCTGAAAAGAGAGCAGTAGATTAAAGTATCCACTTGAGACTCCTCACATGTTGGTCATTTCAGTCAAGACATAAGGACTTACAGATGTGAAGTGTTTCTTGCATAGATGAGTTCTCTAGCAGATGATTGTCCTACATCAGCCTCAGAAGTGTAAAGGTAAGACAAGACAATTTTAAGCCAGTTAAGTTCTTTTATCTGTACTAAAGAAGTTGATAATGATTTATATGAGATTTCCCAAGCTAGTCTGGTATGTAAGATAAGTTCAAGGGCAACTATGTTAAGACTGAGTTATTTTTCTAATAAAGAGGCATTACTACTTGTTCTGCCAGTTAGGTAGAGCTTGAGTGAAGAGTAGTTGAGGTTCATCTTCCAACTGTGAAAGAACTTGCACAGACCTGTCGTTGCTGTCACTCTAAGATTCTGTACTTTGACCATGACACTCAGTAGAGTGTATGCAAGAGAAAAGGGATCTTTTAACAGATTGCTCTCTTCTTGGAGACAATTTTATTTCTGAAGAAATACTGCCTGTATGACACTTGAATGAATTTTTCTCAAGTTAGTTAAAGCTGTATTCTAATAACTTTTTAGTAATCTTCAGATGTTCTTTAGTGAAGAACTGCTGTGGCATTCCATGGCTAAGCAGGAGTAATTTAACTAAAATTACTAAGGTGGGGGTATGCTTTACAACAAGGGGGTTTTTATACAAACTGTTTTATCAAATGCTCTCTATCTCTTCTAAATACATTCAGCTGTGGGAAAAACTGGCATTCAGTGGGTTTCCATGACAGCAGCTGAGGTAAAAGTAGCCCAGCTATTCCAAAGGTCGCTCATTGAAAGGCACTGATCAGAGAGGTTGATTTGGCAATGTGATTATGGGAGAGCAAAGAACAGGATTGCAAGAACCTTTGGTTATCACAACCAAGGAGAAATGCAGTACAGAAGAAAGGGGAAGAGGCTGCAAGTCTGTGATGGCCAAGAATTACAGGGGCTCGTGTAAGTTGCCTCATAAAGGCATAAACACATATTAATGGTATGTGACAAAATAAGCACTTATAAAAAGTGCTGTACTCTAAAAATAAAGAAGGTTGACTTGCGTTATTAATGCAGAGAGTAAGTGAAAACGGTAAGTTTGTTTGGGTTTGGTCTAAGTGTACTGACACATGTACAGGATCAAATAGCTGCCTTAATCCCAATAACTGCTTGTGTGTTTTCATTCCAAGTCCTGATATGCCTAAAATGCTGCTAAAACCAAACCTGCAGCACTTGCTGTCTAGCACTGACATTTTCCTGCTACTCAAACATGGATGAGCCTGACAAAGTAGTTAGCCCTCTGTTTTGTTCAAAATGTTAGTTAGGAAACATCTGCCTGGGATTATTCTTCAGTTTCATTCTTTCCTTAGTTTTCTTTTTAGACCAGGAGCTGTAGAGGAATTAGGAGCTGATGGCACCAGTTGCTTTGGCTGCCAGCTCAGTGGGAACAGTTTTTGATCCCTAAGCACTTCATCGATTTGCTTCTATTTCTCAATCTTCAGACAACATAACAACAACATAAAGTTTTTAAACATTAGCACTAACTCTGGGTAGACTGTAGATCTCAAACATGGGTGTATTACCTGTATTTTTTACAAAGCAACTATAAGTAATAGCTTAGAAAAGACACTGAGAAAACTTTAAGCCAGGAAGTGAAATATTACAGGCAACAAGTTGAGACATCCACATTCATTATGTTGAATAACCATACAACCTTATGGATAATTCATTACATGCTTTTACATTCAGATAATTAGTACATGATTACCAGAAGAAATTTCTACTTGATTAAACAGCTTCAGCCTTATGAAGCACTTTTACCTGCAAAGGAAGTAGAATGCTCCAATTACAAGAACTCCTAGAAGAAGAAGTGAAGCCAAGAAAGCTGCAAACAGGTCACCTTTTGTGTGGGACTTGATGCTGGGCAGCAAAACTTCCTCACAACGGGCTCCTGTGTAATGCTCAATACACCTGGGAAACCAAGTGGTATTCGGATTAGATGGTAACTTGTCATCTAATATGAAAAGCACAAAGGCTTCTTTTGCTCTTAAGTGGGGAGAGAACTGTTATAGCATAATTCAAAGTTTGTATTTGCTGGGCAGCAACTCTTCTTATGGAACTTCCTCTCACCTTGTATTTCTGGAACAAAGGGAATCGGGCATCAAGTTTACATTCTGATCCATACTGCTTTCATATATTAAATTTAATATATTAATTACTGACAGATTTAATTAATTAAATCTACCTCTTTAGTGTTAACTGTGTCATCCCACTGGTTCTCACACAGTAGCCGTGCTTTCTTTTCTCCCTTTCATGTAACTTTTAGCTTCCTTTGTTGAAGAGCTGTCAGGTAAATAGATCCAGGAAATGGGACTTCATTGAGAGACACAGTACACCTTAAATTGCAGAAGTAGTTTATGCAGTGTAATAATTCATGCTAGAACATGTTACGTGCTTGGTGAATAACCTTTTCTTGGAGAAACCTAGGTAAGTCTTCTCTACTATGCTTATTTTATGTATTAAGCTTCTGAAAACTTCTTCTGAGTAAAGGATTAAAATGGATATGGTATTTTACCACAGTAAAATGACATATTTTATTAAAAATAAATAGAAGTAATGGCTTAGTAATTCGTATTCAGTCAAAAATAGATAGGTTGAAGCTAAACTAATCTTCATTTGTCTTGTATTTTGCACTTACTCTGCTAAGTTTTCTTTTGCAGTACAGAAAATGGAAAGCACTTCTTTCAGTATCTACACTCTGCATGTATTTTTGATATATGTAAATTTGCTTCCCTCTATTTGTATTACTAAAGATCTTGCTCCTTCTTGCTATTTCTGGCACTGAAGTCATAATAATCTGTGACATAAGCAATTTGAGGCTCCAGCTGAGAGAAATGGGCTGAACTCTGTAGCATACTTGTAGTTCTCCACTGCCATTGGCAGCTGCAAGGTATAATTTCAGATGAGGGATAAGAAGGGGGAGTGGGGAGGAACTGCCAAAAAGGAGAAATGTCTGGGACACGTAACTAAGACAAAAGGATCCCTGTGAGCTTTGTGACATGGAGGCTCGATGTGACTCCTCTTTCTCCATGTTATGGACAGTATTTCAGTACTGCTGGTCTCAGCCACTGCACAAAGAATTACTACCCTTTCTTTTAATTCTTTGTCTTTGGAAATATAATGGAAGATTTAGACACTAAAAAAAAAATCTGTTTAATTATCATCATATATTAAAGCTGTGCAGCTGATCAAACTGCCAAGGACAATGGGAGACTTTTCAAAGTTATGATGTGTCACTGCTGGGAGAAGCAAGGGCAGGCAGACTGCTCTGATTGCTTGAGATAATGTTCCAGATATTTACTGTAAGTGTAGTGGCTTTTCAGTGGCCTATTTCTGAAATACTGTAGAATACTTTAAGAATAGAAGTGTAGTTTGAGTGGGGCATTGTTCTCTAGCAAGTGAGAGAGAAATGCTTTGGAGAGCTGAATAGAGTCACAGGGATAGAAAATGGAATATGAAATTCATAGAAGTATTCTTGAATACCAATGAAAACTGGAGAATAATGCAAGGCTAAAATGATACAGGAAGGAAAAAAAATAAATAGGTTTTGGCATCAAATTAAGGCTCATGGAAAAGTTCTAAAGAATGAGTGTAAAGGGAGCAAGTCAGTAGCCTAAAGAGCCAAATGAAGCAGGAGGAAGAAAAGACAGTCCTGCTGCAGAGAGCTGCACACAGGATCAGGTAAAAGGTGAGGGTTAGTGAACTGTTGTGAGAAGTAGAAGTGACATGATCAGTGCACAGAAATTATATTCATGTGCTGGAAAAGACCACAGGAAAAAAATTGGGAATGTGATGACAGCCTAGAAAAAAGCTCCCTGAGATTGTAGCACTTCCTACTAAATAGAAAACACAACCAGATGCTTGAGGTTGTCACAAGTCTTTAAGAGGGAAAGGAACTTGAAGGCCTAAGACTCTAAGGGGAAAACGACAGCAATATGAATGCAGGGTTAGAGCAACAGGGAAAAAACCCTGCACTAAAAAAAGCACATGCAAAACTTAAACATCCTGGGTGCTGAACCTCTTCTGCATGGATGTAACAGAAACAAGTTGTAGAAACATGTTTTTCATGATTAACTAGTTTGATAGTATCTGTTTAACTGTGTGCAGTGGATTAGGGATTACAAACTAGGCTGAGCTGTTGACACACTTGCTGGAAGTGATTCCAAGCTATGTAAAAATTGCTGCCATAAAACCTAAAAATTATGTAGGGTTTTCACATAAACAGGAAAATTGCGATGAGGTACCTCTGGGTTACATATAAATAAACAAAATTATAGCTAATGTGACCTTAGCAACAAACTATGCTACAGTCAGGGCATTTCTGAAGATCCAGATGTTCAAATATTGGCTTGCACAAGCTTTTATGAAGTCACCTGTCCTGATGTACACAGAGGTGAAGGCAACTGATGCTTTAAGACAACCAGGAAAGGTTTCTTCTGCAAGTCCTTTCCTAAAATTGGTGAGAAACTAGGCAGACTTCTATAATTAGCAGTGGAACTCACTCAAAAGACCTGCTTATCCTGTAGCAGAGCTCTAATAATTTCAGTGGAGTTACTTATGCAATGACTGCAAGCAAGTCAGAAACACAGTGTCTAACAAGCATGTGGGCCACAAACATAATCCATGGTATCTATATCATGCCTTCTAGAGGTAGTCAGGCTTGCTAGACACAGCCTTAAAAGCCAGCAGCTTTTAAGATAAACCCCTAGTTTATCTTGTTTATAATGGATGCCTAAAAGTAGAGCCCAAGTTAGGAGCAGCTGTTAATAGGGCAGGCACTGGTGCATCTGCACTTGAATAAACTGGGGCAAAACCAGAGCAAGTTCTAGGCTGGACTAAGAGCATAAGACATTAAGTTTTGTGTTCCCCAGGCCAGGTGTAGCTGCTGCAGAACATCACCTCCATGCTGTGAGCCTGCTGCCTCAGCACGTGCTCTGTGTTGCCTTAAATGGTCCTACTATGTAGCATCCCAAACTTGATTTTTAAAGTGGAAAAGAGGTCTTTCCCCCCCTCTAAGAAATTAGAATTTCTAATTCAATCAGAGTGGAAATACAGCAGCCTTCGATGTTTGAGGGAAATCTATGACTGAAACCTCCCATTTTCAGAAAGCATCCAGATTTGTGCTCTCCTAGGTGCCTGCACACACATGCACACACACCCACGCCTCCTGTCAGCCGAGATGAGCCAGCCTCAAACTGTTGTATACAAACATACTACAGGAGCTGTGCTACAGACAAAACACTAGCAGAGGTAAAGAAATCCAGAGAGTCTTTCAGCATAGGATATTAATCCAAACTACCCGTGTCAGCATCAGCACAAAGTGGAAGTAAATAGACTGCATTGGGCGGGTCGGCAATTCTATTGCTCCCCTAAAATCTGATTAGTAACTAAAACAGAAGCATGAAGGTCTTGCAATAACAGGAGGCACTACTGCTGTCTCTTTAGGGGTCCTCTGCCTGTGGGATATAGTAACAAGGTGAGGTTTCTTTCTCTGCCAGACTCCCAGGTGGGCAACATAAGTATCTGACAGACTTTAAAAATGGAAGTAGGGTTTGAGTCAAATATGCACCTGGATTCTCACTGCACTGCATTACACTGTAAAGGTGTTGACTTTAGTTTTCGTTTAGTCTTCCTTTAGTCAGAAAAATCCTGGATGCTTCTTGGTATCAAAACTACTTGCATGGAAATACAAAGCTCTAAGCAGAAAAGGCTGAAAAATTATCTGCTTGTCAGTGTAACTCAGATTACATGGCTGAGAGCTTCAAAATCACCATAATCTTCAGTCTGTACAAGGCTCCCAAAAATTGTCTTAATCCATACAATATAAGGACATCTAGTAAGTATGAAAAAGAATTTCAAAGCCAAACAAGAGCAAACTTAATTGGAAGCCCTAAGTAGGTTTTTAAAAATTTTTGCATTTAGGGGAGTTTCAAAACTGTTACTCTGAAGATGACTTCATGTACAAAGAGAGTAAATGAAAATGCTCCTACTGGAGAGAAGTTGAAAGAATTGATTATTTTTCCCTAGAACTCCCTTACTATGTGTTTTAGTGGCCAGATTTGCCATGTCTCCAGTTGTAATTCTGATTGCTAATAGTTTTCAAACACATAAGATAAGGAGAGCATTCACTGTTGATTTTGTGTGTGCTGCCCTCCCAAGCAGAGGAGCTATGTTTGTGTGGTCTTACACCATCTGTATTTTGTTTGAAATACAGAAGAATGCTCTCAGAAGTCTGCCAAGTGTAAGAAAATAATAGAAGTACCAGAGCTCCCCCCCAGAAAACAAAATCTTCCCCTTGTTCTGCCCTGCATCCATTAATGCTGCTGGGACAGCTGTCATCAGGTGGTGAGGCAAATGCTTTCAGCCTTGTGGTTCCTGAGACACCTGAGGCAGCTGCTTTTCCATCCTTCTCTGTCCTGCTGCCTGTTTATTTAGTACATTTCAGTGTTCCTGGGTTTGCAGCTCATCTGGTTTACGGTGCCAGGTGTGCCTTTTGCTGCTGAGAACATTAACTCATTGTTAGGAAAGCAGTGAGGGAAGGTGGCACCTGAGCAACTTCATGTTTTAGCACACATCAATTGTATTTAAAATCCGCTAATGTTGCACAGGAACGGGGGGGTCAGTTAATGTTTGTTTCTATTAAATCTCTACCTTGTATATGTCCATTTCTGAATGATAAAAGTAACTTAAATTCCAAAGGTAAACAGTGGTTCTTAGTTCCTTAACATGCATAAAACTACATATTTCTAAAGAATGATGCATTTTCCTTTGTTTCATGGCGAAATTACTTCCAATGATGTTGCATCAGGTAATCTGGGCTATGTTTAGCACAACACATTGGTGTAACTAAGTAGCATGTCAAGGCAAATGTGTTTCAAGGTATTTTTACAGTTTGTTAGGCTGTTCTTTCTCCATCTCCCCCTTTTAACTATCAATCATTCAGCCTTTGAGTCTAAAAGTGATTCGAGTTTTCTTTTGGTGGGAGATGATCATTTGAGAACACTTGGGAGCTTTGGGTGGGATTTGGCAGAAACCTCCATCAAAGAAACTTTGTCCAACCATGTGATGATGCCAGTCTTGAAGTTCCAAAGCACCAAATATTTCCTGAATTCTGCTGAATCGTGATGCATTTTTTCTGTTGTTTCTATTCACATCACTGCTGATTACTAAGATATCTGTGTGTAAACAAAACCTTTCTCATCTATAATTAGCCTTCTCTGACTGATTAAGGAACATGCTTAGAATGAGGACATGCTTAAATAGAATGCTGCTATTTAAACCATCTAACTTCATAATCAATCGCTAGATACAGGAAAAAAATAGTTGATAATTTAAATGCAGTAAGATTGCCTGAGGATAACAGAAATGCTCTTAAGATGTTACTTTTCTGCTTCAGCAGATTATAAAATCCTATAGTACCTGAACTGCAAATGACTTCATTTGGAGCTGTTAAAGTGGAAATTATCTATCCTGACTGGTTTGTGCTCCTGAAGGATGAATTGTTCTGAGGATTTGTTACTTCATATTTATAGTTATTGCATGAAATACATCTTCCTTGTTACACAGTCTAGCAATAGTTGAGAAGGGGCTTTGAAATTGTGTAACTGATGCTATTTAGGTTAACCATTTATTTTTCATTTAAGTATTTTAATATCAGTAATATGGCATTCCTTCTAGAAAAAAAAAACAACTAGCATGTATTTTAAGATCTTTCACTTTTTGTGTGTGTGGTATTCATTTTTATCACATAAGTTTGCAAGGTTTAGCAGTGAGAATAAATCACCATCATCCAGCACTGTGGAGCTCTAATCTCCCCTCTGGATGTGATTCATTGTGACACTGGACAATGACAGTGATCTGCTGTGTATATTTTTCAATGAGCATTTATCACAAAACTGTCTCTTTTCTCCTCATCTAGCTAAATGAGCTTACATGCTTGAGCTTAAGTGTTTAAATTGAACTGTCCCAAACAAAACAAAGAGATATTTTAATTAGGCATCTGGGAACAGATTTTGTTTCTTTCTTCAACTGTTTTATCCAGTTATCATTAGTTATAGCTCAAGATGGAAGAGGGAGCAGAAGTTGCCATAGAAGCAAAAAAGGTAATATCCTTAAGTGTATGTAATATTTGTCTGAATGCCTATTATTTTGTTAAGTAAACCAGTTAAATCAATCATAATTTATTTTGATGAATGATAACTCAGAATTAGTAAATGAACCATGAAAAATGGGAATTTCATTTAGCATCTTACGTCTTGGTAAATGAGAAAATAAAAAGATAGGGCTGTATTCATGCAGGAAATGTATCCACATGCAAAACCAGCAAGTGCTACTTTTCCAAGGTGCTAAATGGGCTTCAGAGAGAAGAATGGTTCTGTTATGGAATGATGTAGGAAGTATCTGTACTTGCTGCCTTCATGTTTCTTTTTCAGGTAGTCTTTGGCTGTCACTGGAAAGCTGAGTATTTCAGCAAGATTCAGAGAACACAGTAAGTCTTGAATTACAGTCTTTTTTTCCCCCCCTTAAAAGATCACATTATTTTTTGTGCCTCCTCATTTTGTTCATGGTGGCCGTTTTATGCTACAAAAATGTTTGTAATATCATTCATCTGTAAGAAAGACTGGGAATGTACTTTGCCTTTCTGAATGCCTTTCCTACAGTCTATATTCCATGAGGCAAAGGGTATTTTGTTCTTTCTGTATTGTAATGAGGGAAGAGATGTGGCTCTAAATATAGACATCATCCTGAATGCGTACGTAACTGAGTGCTGTTGCACCTGCCAAGCAAGTATAAACCAAGTATACACAATTATTTGTCTCATATTGTCACAGCTCTGCAAGCTTGGAAAGTAATAGGTAATAGATATTTTCTTTTAGATAACATTTTAACAGTGATTTCCTAAAGAAACAAAATGGAGACACAGCCTTTAGACAGCTACTGTCCAACACTTAGACACACAAACTTCAGTTTCACTGACCTGCAGAATGGACTGGATACAGTAGGAATCATATAACAAATCCCTCCATTTAGACAAAAAGATCCATAACTGGTGCCACAGAGTTCTTCATGATCTTAAAAATAAGACCAAAAAAACACTGAGAAAAATAGAGACTTCAAAACCAAAACAACACCAAAACAAACCCTCACACAAACAAAAAACCACCCTATGAACAGAAAAGGTGTCGGCCTTGCCCTCCAGGCCAGCAACACACAGCACTATCTTGCACAACTGTTTCATGTAACAATATGTGGAAAAGATCACTAATTTATCACCATATCACATGTGAAACACCTAAATTAGATAAGCAAATCAAACTTTCTCTGGCAGTGAGAGGAACTTCTGAACTCTCCGTTACTTCCTTCGCCGTGCGGAGCACAGTGACCACACGATGACCTGTGGGGAGTCTGGTTTGTCCTGTTCCACTGGCACAAACTATCTTTAGCTTAACTACCCTCTGTGAGAGGCTCAGCCAGTACAGATGCACCCAGAATAGTCTCAGGTGTGGGCCAGCACATTCTGAGGCTGCTCAGGGCTGTGTTAAGAGCTGAATCACAGCCCACTTGGGCACCGGCTGGTTTTCCCACCCCAGTTCTCAATGACCAGAGGAGGAGCCAGCCTGCCAAGGGTCACTTATGTGTTACAATGTAATTTCCACAGACCTCAGAAAGGCTTTTTCCTGACAGCAGGCTTCTTGGATGAACTGCTAGTGTGTTAAACATAATTAGGAATTCTAAAACCACCCCCATACAGGACACTAATGTTGGCACTTGTAGCAGCAGTTGACCATTTTATGCTTAAAAAGCATATTTAACTGTACCACTTCACTCTTTCTGAAAGCAGTCTAAATTTGGAAGTTGGACTGCATATATTTATGACACATTTAATGCATCAGTAATTCATTTTATATATATGCATATATATATTTTCATATATTTCTTCCATCTTATGAAACCACAGTATCTCAATCAAAACAAAAATAGAGCAGTCTTCTGACATCACAAGGGTGAGAATCATGTGTTACCTCACACTTCAAGTGTTCTTGCTGTTATTTCTCCCAGAAGCTCTGAAAATAAGAACTCTGCTGTCTCACCATTTATGTATAGAAGATATGTTCTATACAAAATAGTGTTAAGAGTAATCAAGATTTTAGTTTTCTTATTTGTCCTTCGGGAAAAAGAGTTAGGGTTCCCCTTTATTCCTGCAGAAAAAAGTGAGAAGTGTGGCCATAAGAAATCCTACTCTAGAGGGAGTTTCTACAGCTCTGTATGTAAAATAAAACTGACTTTTCTAAGAGTAGCAGAGAGGCTTAGCTACTTCTAACTCTGTGCAACAAAACCATTGTGCATCCTGCTATCCTCTAGACAATCTCCAGCAATTCCACTCTCCCTTTTTTCCACACATTCCTCCATCTCTGTGATGGCACACTGATGTAGGAGTGTGAGTCAAGTCCTTCTGTTATTTTAAGATGAAGGCAGTTAAACCCCAGCGCCCAACAGGAATTCAGTGTCATGTTCCTCTTCTCGAAGTGCATCCAAATGGGAACTGGACCTTTTTGCCTGTGTGCAGATAAATGAGGGAGCTGGAGGAGGGAGAAGAAAGGCTGGAAAGATTGTTCATGTTTGACCTTGTTGCACAGAAATGTGTGTTCTGCCCTACCTTGTTAGAAGTTGAATGGAAATTTATTTTAACTCCGAAGCTTTCTGTGCTTGTCTACTGGCAATTCATTTCCTGCAAGTTCACTATTAGAAGACTAACAGTACAATTCCAATAGGAATAAAATGGGTACAGAAGAAAAACTAGGAGGTTTTTAAACAAGAACTACAAATTATTTGATTTTAGCCTATTCAAACCTAACAGTGGACCTTCTGTGAGAGTGTAATTCAATTGAATCCTCTGTCAAATGAAGAGAGGGTACTGAACACATGAGCAGTGTATCAGGATATCCATACAATTATAAGAATCAACTGAGAAAAACAAAACTCTCAACGTGCTCTCAACTCTATCAAGTGCCTGAGGGAGTAAACTGTTGAAATTCTACCAGATGGAAAAGCAAGATGATAGAAGGTAGGCCCCCCCAAAAAATTCCTTTACACAGCTCATGGAAAGGTTGCAAAGAAATTCTCATGAGAATTAATGAGAATTTGTTAACCTCCTTAAAATCCTGCCTTAAGGTTCTATTTCTTCATCTTTAGGCAGAAATGGACCTGTCTCACATTGGAACAGTGGTAGAGTCCTGAGGAAACCTCAGTGCCTTGAGTCACCCAGGCCTCGGGACATCTGGGAGAATGATCCCTGTTCAGGTGTGATCTCTGTATTAAGGCCCAGCTCTGCAGCACAACCAGGCATTTCTGTTCTGGCAGAATACCTCAGGCACTCTGTCTTAGGCCTATTAGAGAATGGGAGAGAGGCAGAGAGAGAGAACAAAAAGTGCCCGGGGAGCCTTTGAAACCTTTTTGATTGTAATTACAGACAATTTTTCTATAGGCTATTTCTTTCCAGAGATAGACTTTTTTCCAATCCCGAGGGAAAAATGGTAACCTTAATTTTACCAGTGATGAGAAACTTGAAGAAACATCTATGTCCATCTAGATCAGGTGCCCCTTTTTCCATCCTGTTGTGCTTTTCATTAGTTCTATTTTGTTTATCAATACTTTGCTACTACTTAGTGAAAGTATCAGAGTAATACAGTATAAAGTAGGTGTCAGAATTACAAAAGGCAATAAAAGAAAATTCAGGATGCTCAACACTAGAAAAATTATTACTAGAAAATTGTAATACAAAAATAGATATTATTGTACTCCACACCTACTGTACTGAAATAGAGTAGCTTGCAGCAAATTTCAACGCCACAGTTCTGTATTTATAGACAGGAAGGTGTGAAAGCACCAGTTTATCCCTCTAAATTTATAGTCAATGATGCAAAAAAGTATACTGGAGAATCAGAAGGGGTTCAGTACAAGCCAAAACCCAATTACATTAGCATTGGTGAATGTGTTATGATTTTTCATGAGGTAAGTCAATACATTATATTAATCTAAAAATGCAAATTGTGTGCTTTGAAAGTCAAATGTATACTACATTCAGACTCCATAATCAAGATAGAAAAGTTTAACAAGTCAAGTGATGATGGGAGATTAAAAAAATACAAAAGATTTAGCTTTTAAATTAACAGAGCTCTATGTATGTTGTACATAATATATATGTATGTATTTTGATACATCCTTCTATGTGAAAGATTAAAGAGAAGTAGGACACAAAAGTTATTTTTAAAAAAAGTTGAATTTGGTGGAAGGAGAAGCGAAGAGGAATCAAACAAGGTTGTTCTTTCTTAATGCTAGACTATCAATACTTAAAACTGGCTGGGGTAATAGCAGGCTCTAAGTACTCTTAATTATTCTTTTTGAGGACATGCACATGTCCTGGTTTCAGCTGGGACAGAGTTAATTTTCTTCCTAGTAGCTGGTACAGTGCTGTGTCCCTAAACTTTCTTGTCTGTTTGCATTTAAACTTTTGTAACCTGACTGTCCTAGCTATTAAAAAAACAAATTCAGGCTCAACACCACCTTAACTCTCCAAGAGCCAAGCCAGCCTTGACAATCCACATGTTGACTCAGCTGTCTTGCCTGGTCCAGAGGCTGAAATACTAGACTGTCTAATCCTGAAGTCTGCTAACACAAAAAAGGAAAGGGGGAGGAGTGGGAAATGTTGACAGAAGATAAAAGGGGGCTGATGCTTCCTCACTTATAAGCAACTTTGGACTGTATGCTAATCAGTCACAAAGGGTGAAACGTTAGGATGGATCAAAGCAAACATCTCCTTACAGAATTTGTACCATCAGCAGGTGAACTCTAGTAAGGGATGGCAGTTGTGACAATTCCAGGGGCAGCTCCCAAATTCAAGGCAATATTCATGAATTCTAATTATACATGTATGTGTATCCAGGTAAAGACTTGGAAGAAATTACCTGTTCGCATATTATTCCGACAACAATTTTTATTCTTGGTCAGAGGCTACTCTTCTAAAACAGCACCTGAAGACAAACATGGAAGTTGAGCATGTCATTTTTAAACCTGGTGACTTTTTCCCCTGAAGAGACAGCTATTGGAGTGCAACTTAGTGCTGCTGCTAAGACATCTGCTGCACTGTGACAGGAAGGTACTGTCAGATGTGAGCTCCATTAATTCACAGTTAATGGCAAACATTCAGGTCTGCTCTCCAGTTCAGTGAATCCCTAAAGGCAGAGTAAAACCAAATTCACACTAAAGCATATTGAAACAATGAATGCTTTTTTCAAACTGCCATGCTCATTCAGAATTGCCATACCTGTGCATTTAGGCAACCTAATTGATTGTTTCTGGCCAGCTCATTAGATTGGTGTTTGCACCTTGAAAGACAGTGCACACAACTGACCCAGTCCTCAGACTGGTGATTATTCAGTCAGGTAAGGTCTTGGTGGTAGAATACTTGCATTCCACAAACAAGAACTTCCCAATTTGTCATTTCTCCCAGAGAGTCTGTGTGTTCCAGTTGAGTGTTTCTCATGTCTGGATGTCAGGTGGAATTAGTAATACAGGCTGTGAATTTATCGGAACTCAGCAAGGTCAAGGCTTGTACAATGATCTTTAAAATCTGGAATAGAAACTCTCTGCCTGGACAGAAACCAATCTTCACTTGACAATGCTAAAAGAAACGTATTCTGTAGATATGCCAACTCTATAGCCACTTAGCCTTACTATATTCTGTTTTCTTGTTAGGTATAGTCAAGGCTTACTGTACCAAATAGGTTATGTTTAAGCCTAATGCAATAGATCATCTTATTTTTTTATGTTTGCTCTTTTTTCTTAATTATACTTTCAAGTGTACGTAAAGCAATTATTTAAGCAAACTGCTCTATATTGGAAGGAAGAACCTTTTTCCCATTAAATGATCAAATAAAATAAATTGTCAGCTTTACGAGGAATAATTGCCTCTACTTCAGTTTTCTGTACCAGAAAACCAACTTTCTGCAGAGGCCCATTTCAGAAGGTATAATGCATTTGTACTTACTTTATGAGCAGACAGTTCTGGTTTTCATGGGACCTCAGGTGGCTTCTCTAGTTTTCAAGTGTCCCGTCCATACAGGAAAACCTGAAACGGCAGTTCCCTGTCACACTGGGCTGTAACAGCAAGGTCCCCACCCACAGGCGTCCTCTTGAGCTGCCTCAGATACACAACGTTTGTGTGCACAACGAGAACAATTAACATTGCACAAAGAGACAGGTGAACAGGAGTCACTTTAGAACTAAAATCCTGGCTTTAAAAGAAATAAATCATCCTGCAGATAGGTTCCTCCTGCAGTCGAGATCTGGATTTTATGTGCTGTGAAAAAGGCTCCACATTTACATACAGTGCAATGTGGGTGAGGTTACAGCAAAGACAAACATCCTTGCAGAGGCCAAGCACAGAATAGGGGAACACCCCATTATGCTCACAGAATCACTTGCATGTTTTTCTAGGGTTACCAGCACTACAGATTATTGCTGAATTCAAAATATTCACATAGTCTAACTCACATAAATAGCATCACAAATATATTTTACACAGCGGTCAAAAATCTGATTTAAATTTGTATCTAATTGGAGCAAGCAATCCAATTTAGTTCATTTAGTCTCCCTTTTCACAGGAAGTTCCACAAAATGGTATAATATCCAATAGCTCTCATAACAGAAAATATAAACAGGATATATCACCTAAATTTCAGACTAGCTCCTGTACCAGATTTAATTAGGATAGGAGTCCTTGAATTGACAGAATAACTTTAGTTTTGCTACTGCAAAAAAGGAGATCTCTCATCTCCTTTCCTTCATCTCACTATCAGTATGCACCTCACTGTCTCTGGTGCTGCTCCTGGGGTAAGTTGAACTTTTTCAGGAGATGCTTAAATCCAGTGATCTGGCAGAAAATGCCGTGGGGGAGCTGAGGTTTTCTGCTGCATCAGTGTGTTAAAGGGGTGTGCTGTGCCACTCATCACTGTTTGGACTGGTTCTCATTGTGATGGGCACTACACATTGTTTATAGGCTGACTGCAGACAACAAGGCAGCCTGAGGAAGGCCATGGGACCACTAATTCTCCATTTTCAAACTTTGTTGCCTGCATATTCAAAGAAATAGGGGGTGGCAAAGGGAGGGGGTGAAAGTACTTCCTCACCAATCCAAGATGATGTCTGTGTGTATGCATAATTCTGTGTTTTAAGTTCTGAAAATAAGTATCACAATTTGGGTCTAAAGATGACTTTCCAAGGAGATGTTGCTGACAGCATTCACAGTTGTGGCCTTTTTTTTTCTAAGATTGAAGAGTAAATAAATCATTAGGTAGTCATGTATTTATGAGTTTTTCTCTGGGGTGCTGCACTCTGAAAAGAGGTTCAAGTATGTATAAGTGTCCTAAAAAGAACAGATTGGAGTCCCTGTTTCATTAGAAATAGGATTATATCTTTAAAGAAAAGGAAATACTACCACAGAAATTGTTGCTAAACTCTATTCCAACTTGCCTAAACCTACCTGTGCACTGAGTTCATACTAGAAACACAAAGATCACTTGTGCATCTACCTTCCACTTTCCAAACTGGCTTCCTCTTAAGAGGCAGATGTAACCTATGCTCACAGAAACTACAGATCCCATTGTATGAGTGCTCAAATGTGTATCTTGCATGCATTTTGGGAGCTCCTGAAAGGTTACTCTGTGTATCCAGTTGGAGCATTTTAATCTGAAATTTAAAATACAGCCTATTTTGCTCTGTGCCAGCTCGTTGAAAAAAGCTTCAGATCAGTTCTACCCTTTCCCCCACATCTTTGCCATCTAAACTGGCATTAACAACAGCTGTACATTGTTGGAAATGTTACAGTTTGTACATTTAAGTCACCTGTGCATACTGAGATATATTGGAACAAGTGTTTTGAACTCACTAGGTTTGTCTTTAAATGAACCTGTGTGCTTTACTCCCCACATATTTAAATCAGAATCTGCTTTGCCTCTTGGGTTTGTGTACTTTTACTGGTCAGCTGGCCCAGGCATCCATGAGATGCTGTATCCCCCAAAGAATGTAACTGTAAGTTTTAGTGAGCACAGGCAGAGAAAAAGCAAGCACTGAATAGTGATTTGGGCTTTGTTTTATGGTTCTTTGTTATTCAAACATTCTTAAAATTAATCTCTATATAAACACTCCCACAAATTAAAGATCATTTTGGTCATGTGGCTATTTCAAATATACATTTAGATTAAGTTTTGCACCTTACAGCCATTGTAAAGAATGAGATTTTACTGCATTATGTATTCTTTTTAAAAATAATTAAAAAAAAGTAAAATCTCATTCTGCCCCAATATTGAGCTCAAATATTTGTGTTGTGAAAACAGTAAAGGAAAAAGGTTTCAAAAATTGCTTAGTGAGCTAATTAAATATAACTTTCCTTCTGAGATGTGTCCTTGATATCTGTCAAGCAGTTAGTAACCTACACCTCTTATTTTCTCCAAGAGCCAGGACCTCTTCTGAAGTCTTATTAAAATGAGTCTGTTTTTTCTCATCTAGGTATAACTTCTCATCCCCTCCCCATCTGAAACTCATAACTGATCTGAGCACAGAAAATCATCAGGTGTCAGAAAAAAATCCATCAAACTGCCTGAAACAAAGGAGGATCTCTCTCAGGAAGAATTCAAGGTGAGATGTTACAACAAATCCGTATAAGGACAATGTGTTACTCAAATTTACACCCTGAAAGTTTCTTTTAGGATGGGACAGCCACAACGTGAGGGAATTCTAACAAAAGGCAGGAGCGAAGGCAGGTCATAAATAGCTCACAAATCTCAGTGTGCTTTGACTGACAGGTTCATTTTTTTGACTACAGTTGTTTAAAATTCTTTCCATTACAGTTTTCTGAAATGACAACAAATTACTGAATCCTGTTGTCTTAGAAATGCCTACAGCAAAAATTTAGGTTTACATTTTGATTTTATCCACTGAAGTATGTCTAGGATTAATTATGTACAACAACAGCAGCCTAAAACTCTTGTCATGGTGTTGAAATTGCAATTTGAGACATTACAGTGACTTTAAGGGGACATTTTCCATTCCTAAAATTTCCTAAGCAGTTTGCAACCAAATGCAAATTCCCATCAGAAACCCCAGTTCTACTGTATGAGATATTCATACAGACATTGGCAAAGCTACAAAGTTGAGCTTCTGTCAAATATAACTACAAATTTGTAATTTTGAGATAGAGATTCCAGTCTCGAGCCTGTGTGTGCTTATGTGAGGGGAATTAATAAATTTTGCAAGACATTTGCATTAAAAAAATCACTATTAAGCTTGGGAAAAAACCCCACAACACTATTCTTTCATTCTGTCTGCTTACTGATTTCTTCTGTGGCAATTCTGCTTCCAAGTTTCATCAACTCTTGTAAGAAATCAACTGAAATTAATGCAATTTAAAGGTTCTCACCGCATGGTTAATTTTTACTCATGCCTCAGTGGCAGATGTAGTGACCCCACAATGTCAGCTCCCCAGTGTCAGCAACCTCAGATCCAGTCATCAGAACTCTAAAAATCCCTGTTACAAACTCGTGTACGAGAAGACAGTTTAGCACATGGTGACAGAATCAAATTGACCAGTGTCTCTTAAATAATTTTGAGTTACTAAAAAATGTTTATCGTGAGAGTTCAGGTATTTACTTTTACATTGCAGTCATCAGGAATCAAATGTAACTAGTGTTCATTATACTGATTTTGATTTTTTAAGATTTATCTAGAGAGTAATAGCTGGTTGCTATTACAGCATAGGGTGGATAACTCAAAACCTGAATTCCAGTCTCATTTATTTTGTCCATTTAAAGCACATTCTTAACCTTGGGTTGGTTTACTTCCTCTTTTTTTCTTTTTTTTTTTTTTTTTGGTGCATTCAATTTTGTATTGAGTTAATTTGCTCTACTTAAACCACGGCTTACCGCAGCACAGGGGTATTCTTAACTCTGCTGGTGTAATCTCTCTCAGACATGCACCGGGCAACCTGCTGAATCAACGTAATCCCTAATCCGCAGGGTGCAATCCCGCAGCTGCTCGCCCCGGCGCCGTTATGCAATGCCGGCCCGGGCGGCGCGGCGCGGGGCGGCGATGCCGGTGTGTGTGGCGGTGTGTCTCGGTCTGTCGCGCTGTGTCGCGATGTGTCGCCGCTCCGGTGCCCGCGCGGGGGTCGCGCGCGGGGGGGCGGGGCCGTGCCCGTAGTACTCCAGCGCGCGCCGCCCGCCGCCGCCATTGGCCCCGCGCCGCCCGCGTGACGCGCGCGCGCCCCCCCCCC